GGACGATGATGGTGATGATGATTTCTGGTAGACCGTCTGACCTTATCGGACAAACCATCCCATTACTCGAGTGCAAGCACGTTCGCTTGTTCAAACCGGATAATCCAGGGGCCCCTAATGTGTGCGAGTAGAGTTTGAATACGAGTGATTTTGATGCTTATTCCACAAATCACAGAACTGCCTAAAAGTAATCAAGCGTGATCCATCAGGTTTAAATCGTCCATGATGCTATTTGACTGGGAAGCCCTGACAGGGTGGTTCAGTCGACTGTGAACCGGGACAGTTACTGCGTCGTCATTCGGAGAGCTGAGCAAACCCAGTACGCCACTCCAGTGTGAGCACTGCTCAGGTGCAATAATCGAGCATGAGTTGGCTGAGCTTGTGGTAGGGCGCTTGCCTCTTATATCCTGTGTCTGAGGTCCGAATCCGGACTTGAACGAGGATATGCACTATTAATTAGTCTTGGCGAGAGTAAAACTCGAATGCGGCACCAACCCCTCTTTAGTGCGGACCAACCATAACGTTTGCATCAGGGTAAGAGGATAACTTTTCAAATGACACTATAGTAAAGTTATGATGTCATATTACACAGGACCCCTATTAACCTGATATAATGGTTCAAATGACTGTTTGGGTGCGTTGGTTTCTCCAGGAACAGCGCTTGTACTTCTGCGTCCAAGAGAAGACACATGCTATCGAGCTGTCGTTAGCTCAGTTGTTCAGATACTAACGCATAGGTGGTAAATGTATTCATATCTTTACGGGTATGTTAATGCCTGGTACCTTGTATGAAGTTCTGATGAAAAAAATTCGGAGGGAAGCCCTGCACAGTAATCCAGTCTTGTTATTTGTTTGGAATGGAGGAATTATTTTTTCTCTGTAAAAAATAGTTCACAATGACATTTGGGATAGATTTTCCCCAAATTCTTGGAAATCAGTCCGCATATTGAGAAAGTAGTGAACAGCAATTGCTGGGGTAGTTCTCCAGAGAAATTCTTCACAAATTTGTCACGTTTATCACAACAATTGCTGATTTATATCCGTGAGCAAGGTGTTAATCCTGAGCATGGTGTCTGCACAAAGTCCAGTTATGTTCAAAAGGTAGTAAACAGAACACGATACAATCCTTCTGGTTCAGGAGTGGAACTTCTGGAGGCGCCAAACCCTCCCCCCAAACGGAGACGTTTCCTCTCGAGAGCGGAACACCATTTGCCGCTCTTGAATAAAGTTGTTATATCTGATGATTCGTCAATCTGTGGTATCCGCTGCTGACCCGCTCCAGTGCCTAGTGAGGGAGAGAAAAAACTCACAGAAGGGAACACAACAGCTGTATTCCGAACAAGCAAGTGAGTGAGAGAGCAAAAGTTACTACGGCCCTACGCTATTTAAAGGGGACTTTCCGACATTGATCCAGGCTGTCTGATAGGCGTTAATGAACACCCATCAACATCGATCGTGCCTCTATGA